CTTGCAGTGAGCCCAGATCGCGCCACTCCCGACAGAGCGAGACTCTGTCTCCAAGAAAAAAAAAAAAGAGTAAAATGGAATAAAGGCAACTTTGGGATTGCCTATGTGAATCTCAGATGATGTCTACACACCCTGTTCTTTTTTTTTTTTTTTTTTTTTTTTTTTTGAGGCGGAGTCCAGCTCTGTCACCCAGGCTGGGGTGTAGTGGCTCCATCTGGGCTCACTGCAACCTCTGTGTCCTAGGTTCAAGTGATTCTCCTGCTTTAGCCTCCCGAGTAGCTGGGATTACAGGCACATGCCACCATCTCCAGCTAATTTTTGTGTTTTTTTTAGTAGAGGCAGGGTTTCACCATGTTGGCCAGGCTGGTCTCGATATCCTGACCTCAGGCGATCTGCCTGCCTCAGCCTCCCAAAGTGGTAGGAATACAGGCGTGAGCCACCACGCCCAGCCACAAATTAATAACTTTGAATTTACTAACAGGTATGTTGCATTTCATCAAGTTGATATGCCAATATTAGAACACTAAAATAAACAGACCAATCAATTCCTACACACAAAAGACTCTTGTTTTTCAAGATTTGAAAACAAGAAAACTTAAAATGAGAAGATATTTTCTCATGAAGAAAATTACAGGAAAAGTCCCCTTCATGGATGGAGTGTGTCAGCAAGAAAACTAAACAGTTTTCAGTCTCATTTAAAAATTTTCATTCCAGTTTTGACACTGATGTTTCTATTTTGCTTAATAAAACAATAATAGGTGAAATTGATTTTAAATTATCTTCACCCCCATTCCCTTTCATTATTTCAACTAATCAAGGATTGACAGTACTCACTTTCATACTGAGATGTAACATTGTTATATATAAGATTTTTTAATTTGTTTATGAACAAGGGTTATCAAATTTCCAGTATATATACTTTTCATTCTCCATCACAGATAATTCCACAAAAATAAGAAGATCAAATTTATCTTGAAAATGCAATACAATTCTTTGAGCTACAGCAGAGAATATAAGTCAATTTCTGTTATTAAAAACAAAGCATTTGGGAGGCAGAGGTGAGAGGATCACTTGAGCCCAGGAGTTTGAGACCAGCCTGAATAATAGTCACTAAAAAAAATAAACATAAAAATTAGCCAGGCGTGATGGCTCATGCTTATAGTCCCAACTACTCGGAAGGCTGAGAAGGGGGTACTGCTTGAGGCCAGGATGTCAAGGCTGAAGTGAGGCACGAGCATACCGCTGCACTCCAGCCTGGGCGACACAGTGAGACCCTGTCTCAGAAAAAAAAAAAAATTTTAATAGAAATAAAGCAGACATGATTTCCAAAAGACAAAATGTGGAAACATTTCTCAGAAAAACTGGTATGAAAAAGTGCAAAGTTAAAATTAGGAAACAAATTCTAAAGTAAAATCCATGACTTTTATTTTTAGACAGAGTCTCACTCTGTCGCCCAGGCTGGAGCTCAATTTTTTTTTAACCTTAACAATAAAGTATGTTTGCTTACCCTATTTCCCAGCCTTGGCTCTAAGCTGCTTTTAAAATTTTTCAAAAATCCTATCCATAGAAAAGTACAATTTCCACTCTTAATGTACTTGAGTCAATTTTATCTTTTTTACTTGTGGAAGCTTTTAAATGCAACACCTAAGAAGAAGGTCAATGCTCTGAGCAATAGAAAAAGTACATGTTATTCTTTGCTACACAATGTAAGGATAAATTTATCTGGATGTATCTGGTTCACCTAATATGCAATAGGCAGCTATTCGCTTATACCACAGCTCTTCATAACAGAAGGTAGCTATAATCTCAACAAAATAACCACTCAGAGAGACACACACACAGAGACAGAGAGAGAGAGAGAGAGAGAGAGAGAGAGAGAGAGAGAGACATAGATCAAACACCTATGATGCACCTACTTCTAACAATCTCAACTTACCCTGAGATTCTAGTAGCCATATCCAATAAAATGCTCCTCCATTCTAACTGCTCAAATCTCCAAATCCGTGCTGTTCCGTCTCTGCTACCACTTAGGAACCTTAAAACATGCAGAACAGGATCTTACTATATTCACACACTTTCCAACAAGGTCTACAATTAAAATCACATGCAAAAAAAGAATGTAATGTAGCTGTCCTGACAACAGGACAATCCACAGGTGTTAATTCAAAAGACAGGTATTTAGAGCATATCTGGATGGGAAAAAAAATTTGGTTTTCTATTATTTGCCTGGCCCTATGAAATTAAAACACACCTCAAACTCAATCAATAGCTTTTCAAACAGATTTAAGTTTTGAGAATACAATGTATAAGAATGCTGAGAAGAGGCCGGGCGCAGTGGCTCACGTCTGTAGTCCCAGCACTATGGGAGGCCAAGGTGGGTTGATCACAAGGTCAGAAGTTCGAGACCAGTCCAACCAACATGGTGAAACCCCATCTCTACTAAAAATACAAAAATTAGCCAGGCGTGGTGGCGTGTGCCTGTAATCCCAGCTACTCAGGAGGCTGAGGCAGGAGAATCGCTTGAACCCAGGAGGCAGAGGTTGCAGTGAGCCGAGATCACGCCACGGCACTCCAGCCTAGGCAACAGAGCGAGACTCCATCTCAAAAAAAAAAAAAAAAATGCCAAGAAGAAAAAAAAACAGAAAAAAGTTTTGAAGAATAGGAAAATAAGGGCAATAGCTCCATTTTAAACACCTTATTTGTTAATTCAAATTACTTCATGTTGGACACTGTGTAAAAATAAATCAATCTATTAACAAATTAAGTTCTCAACAATTACAGTTTAGCAAAGGTACCTGACACATAATGGAGGCAAAGGAGGAGGATACGATTTAAGTAATAATTTCTTTGCAGGATATAATCACAGTGGTTTCTTAGAAACTACCCAAACAAGAAATTTCATGATCCTTACACGTTATTTTTTCAGTAAATCAGACATCCAGCCAAAGAAAAACTACTTTTGGTCACTAGAAGCTGGCAGAAACTACAATTCTAAAAACTTACATTTCATGTGTTTCTCCCCCAACCCCTACCCTAGACACTTTTCATTCAATTAATATATTTACTAATAAATATCTGCAATATACAAAGTGACAGTGACTCCAGCTAATTATATATCATTTCAAAATTTCTGAGATTTCAGATGTTCTGACTACAGAAAAATGCTAAGTATGTGAAGTGGCAGAGAATCATCACACAATGTAAACATACATTAAAACACCACAGTACAGTTGCTCCATAAACATAGACAATTAGTCAACTAAAAATAAAAAATAATGGCCGAGCGTGGTGGCTCACGCCTATAATCCCAGCACTTTGGAAGGTCGAGGCGGGCGGATCACCTGAAGTCGGGAGTTTGAGACCAGCCTGACAAACATGGAGAAACCCCATCTCTACTAAAAATACAAAGTTAGCCAGGCACGGTGGCGGGCACCTGTAATCCCAGCTACTCAGGAGGCTGAAGCAGAAGAATAACTTGAACCCGGGCAGCAGAAGTTGCAGTGAGCTGAGATCATGCCATTGCACTCCAGCCCAGGCAACGAGAGTGAAACTCCGTCTCGAAAAAACAAAATAAAAACTCATAATATAAAGGCAAAAAATATATGCAAAATGACAGGTTAGCTACACTAATACGTAGCACATTGTAATTTGCCTAATAACACACACACATATACAAACACACACTTACCGATCACCATTGTTACAAAATTGGATACTATCTACTTTATCCTAAAGGAGGGAAAAGGAGAAATACAAAAATGATCATCTACATGGTTTGCGAATTTGAAAAAAGTGAAGTTTTATGCTAGAAGCCTATTTGCTTTAACAAGCAAAATATGTACTTGTGTTGCTTAGCCCCATCATTCAACATGTTTTATAATTTTAAGTGAAGACTAACTACAAATCTAACAAGACTACTAAAATACAGCTTTCATTTGAAAGAAAGGCACATCTAACAGGAAAAAAAGCCTTGCTTCTAAACTTACAGCATTATTTATAATTACAACTGTTTAAAATTACTTATATGGAAGTGAAATGTGTGTAAAGTGCTCAAAATATTGGCTTTAAAGTAGCTAAAAACAAGGCATTTTCAATTGTACACAAAAATTGTTGTTTTAAGTTATTTAAATCTGTATTTATCAAATAATCTCTGGATGTGGACTGGCTTTCCCAAAAGCTTCAAACAAAAGATGACTTTACCCTGACCAGTACTTCAGAACACTGACAGTTTTCTATCTTACTATACATTAATAAAACCACATTCTTATTTCATGGGCTTGGTTAGATAAATAGGCCCATTTAAAACTAACCCACCCAGATCAACTGTCATAATCAAGATTTTGAACATAAAGCTAAAATAACCACTGTAAAATATCAGGCCTCTCAAGAGCTAATCGGAGTTGCCAATGACATATCTCCCTTTAAATATAATTCCTTGTATGCTTAAATTAAAATTAGAATAGAATTAAGAAAAACTATATTGTACCTAGACATTTTCATTTTTATAAATATACAAACATCTCTTTAACAATATTTTAACTGTCAAATATAATTCAAAAATTTAAAAGATAACATTCACAAGCAATGACTTATCTCAGAAATGCAACTATGATTTAATATTTTAAAACTTAATACCATCAAAAAGTTATAAATGACAGTTCATTTGTTCAACAGAAGAAAAAATTAAAAATAAAAGTAGAGCCAATAGCAATGCCCCTTAGCAATAAGAGGAATAGTATTAACAATTAATGTAAAGGATTTTAAAACATGGATGCTTACGGTGTGGCTTTCAAGTTCTGCGATTTTTTCGGGTGCTTCAAAACCCAAAAAATACATTCTGATTACATGATCAGTACTACCTGTGGCTAAAAACATACCACCTGAAATAAAAATGGTAAAGTTTAAACATCCAGTTTATAACAAATACCTGAACAAATCAAATTTCTATATTAAAATATAAAAAGAAAAGATCATTTACTCTAAAACTAAGTGTATCTCAACAGTTGCATTTTCTAACTCACAATATAGAGCTTATAAAACTGTATTTGTAGCTTTAAAAAACAAAATTAATTCAATCAATCTGGAAACATTCACAATCTCCTCCTGTTTTGTGGGGTTTTTTTTTGTTTTTTTTTTGAGACAGAGTCTTGCTCTGTCGCCCAGGCTAGAGCTCAACGGTGTGATCTCAGCTCACTGCAACCTCCACCTCCCGGGTTCAAGTAATTCTACTACCTCAGCCTGCTAAGTAGCTGGGACTACAGGTGCACGCCAACACGTCCAGTTAATTTTTTGTATTTTTAGTAGAGATGGGGTCTCACCATGTCGGTCAGGATGGTCTCAAACTCCTGACCTCAGGTGATCCACCCACCTCAGCCTCCCAAAGTGTTGGGATTACAGGTGTGAGCCAGCTGGTGGGGCAGGGAACACGGTCTCAGTCTGTCGCCCAGGCTAGAGTGCAGTAGTGCGATGACGGCTCACTGCAGCCTCAACCTCCTGGAACCAAGCAATACTCCCACCTAGTCTCCTGAGTAGCTGGGACCACAGGTGTGTGCACCATGCCCAGGTCATTTTGTTTTTGTTTTTGTTTTTGTTTAAGAGATGTGTTCTCACTGTGTTGCCAGGGTTGGGTTCAAATTCCTGGGCTGAAGTAATCCTCCCATCTCAGCCTCCCAAAGGACTGGGATTACAGGCACTGAGTCACTGTGCCCGGCCTCCCCATCTGTATTATTAAGGGTGGCAATATAATGCCAATTAAGCACCAGTGCTCTAAAAATATTTTTAAGAAAAGAAGTTCTGCTTTCTAAACAATTTTACATACCTAACCCTAGCTTGTTCAAGTTTTCAGATTTTATGAGGGAAAAGTCTTTGACCTATCCTAAAAAAGAAAAAAGCTACCACACAAGTTCACTGTACAAAAAATGAAAAAGAATAATTTCACCAAGATATGTGTGGGAAATAAATTTAAACTATCAAACATACACAGTTTAGCCTATTCGAAGAAAATCACAAGTTTAGATTATCATACACATAGGACAGGCATAGGAATCACTTGTGTAGACACCTCAAGCCTCTCTTTTACCAGACATCTCTTATATCACTGATTACTACCAGAAATCAGACAAAAGCAGAATAGAGGACTGGAAGAACAAGGCTAACAAAATGAACATCATAAACTGAACCTAACAAAATAAACATCAGAAGTCATTTACCACGTATCTAATAAAAGTTCTTAGCAATAAAGTGGTCATTTAATAAATGTTTAAAAAAAAAAAAAAAGTAAGAAAAAATGTGAAGAAGTTCTTACCAACACTAAAAGAAGAACAAAGCATTTGAACGCCTGGCCTAGGCTTTTCAGTGAACTTCAGGGGACGTGGGCTTTAAAAGAAGAAGATGCTGCTTTAAGATAGATTATTTTACCACATTAACACAGTTTAAAATATTGGTTTTAATCTAGCATATTTAAACATTACAATTTTTTAAGAAACAGGGTCTCGCCATGTTGCCCAGACTAGACACAAACTCTTGGGCTCAAGGGACCCTCCAAGCCTCAGCCTCCCTAGTGGCTGGGAACCACAGACGCACAACACCCAGCTACAGTCTTATTTCTATAATACCTTATTGTATACCAAATATTTCCACATATTTCCGTGTATTTTTACAAAATATAAAAAGATCAAATTAATCATATTTCCTTTAACCTAATACACCCAAAATATCAACATATAATGCAAATTAATAAAATTACAAGATACTTTCATATTCTTTCGTATTAACTCTTTGAAATTTTCCAGTGTGTATTTGAGACTCAAAATACATCTCAATTTGACAATTCATTTTTTAACAAAAATATTTTATCTTTATTTGGATTTCCCAAAATTTGTTGAAAATTTCACATATTTAAGTTATTGAAGACACACTTAATAATTTTCTAATAGACCAGGCGTGATGGTTCACGCCTGTGATCCCAGTACTTTGGGAGCCCAAGGCGGGTGGATCACCTGAGGTCAGGAGTTTGAGACTAGCCTGGCCAGCCTGGTGAAACTCTGACTCTACTAAAAATACAAAAAATTAGCTGGGCATGCTGGCGGGCGCCTGTAATCCCAGCTACTTGGGAGGCTGAGACAGGAGAGTAACTCGAACCCAGGAGGCAGAGGTTGCAGTGAGCCGAGATTGCGCCATCGCACTCCAGCCTGGGTGACAGAGCGAGACTCTGTGTCAAAAAACAAAAAAAAAAAAGAAAAAAAAAGGGAAAAAAAAGTTTTCTAACACATTAATCAATTATAAGTTTTAAATTTAAATTATCAATTCAGTTCCTCAATTGCACTAACCACATTTAAAGTGTTCAATGATCATATGTGGCTAGTGACTACTGTATTAGACAGCAGAAGTATACAACACAGGTCTTATGACTCTCAAAAGTTCCTGCCTGAATTTCCAATTATACACCTATTTTTTTAAATGCCTTACTTTGTCTTTACAAAAATGTGCTAAGATAGAAAAGCTATGCTTCTTTTACAAATCCAGCTATCTAAATAATTATAAACAGGAAAGAGTCAATATGGCACATATGCTATATATAATAAAAATGAAGTTCAAAGGTAAAAAAAGCAACCATAATACATAATCTCTTAATAATCAAACTTCATTTCATTAGACTAAACTGTAACTACATTAAAGAAGAAAACTTGTTACATAATTAAAGCCACTTACCTAAATTTCAAGGATTCTAAATCCCATTGCCAAAAGCAAACTGTCCCATCAGCACCAGTGGAAACCATGTATCTTTGAGAGCCTTTGGCCATTGGGCTAAACTAAAAAGTAAAACATATACAATTCAGTTTCCAGAACTTCTACTTAAGTTACAGTTTAATACTCTTGCAAAGTTAACTTCAATTGACACTTTAAGGAAATAAAACACAAATCCAAAATATAGGTAATACTACTGTAGTGAAAAAAATCATAACCTCTCCACATTCATTTATATGTAATATGATCTCAATAAGCCTATTTTCAGAATAAACAAGATTAGCCAGAAAAACTTTAACAAGGTGAAGATCTAGTCCTATCAGATATTAAAGTATATCACAGAGCCTCAATAATTAAAACAATTAGACATAACGGTGTACACTGACAGAATGACCAACGGAAAAAATAAAGTCCAAAACTAGACCCTATTCAACCAGGAAAGCTGACTGAAAAATTGGAAGGAAAAATGGGGGGAAAAATGGACCCTAATGTAAAACTTAAGTAGAATTAAGGTATTATCTCAAATCTGTTGAGCAAACAATGGATCACTGCATAAATGGTGTTACAATTGTGCAGCAATCTGGAAAAAAACTAAATCCATTCTTCAGACTGTACATGAGGATACATTCCAAATGGATCAATGATTTAAATATATTAAAAACAAAACCATAATATATGAAAACACAAGAACTATACTACAGTGCCACTTCAGAATAAAGCTAACACCTGTACTTAATAAAATACCAAAAGTGCTAAACAAGCAAGCTAGAGAAAGGAAGATCAACTAGCCAGAGACGTCTACGAAGGATTAAACAGTAGGAAAATGCAAGGAAAACAAACACACACTAAGCAAAGGAATAATATCAGCACAAGTTCAAAAGTGAGGAGGAATATGGTATATGATAGAAACAAAGATCTATATGAACAAAGTGTTCATTTCTCAAAGTCATGGGGCAATGGGGTAAATGGGTAGAGAGTCCGGATGTAATCAAAGCAGTTTAAAGGGTAACTGTACTTTTCAAGTAAAAACACCAAAAGCAGCCAAAAGATTTGTCTTACAGCAATATATAATACTGACTGAAAGAGAAGAGGTAAGATGTAATAAAAAGCCAAGAGGGAACCCAGTTAATCTAAGAAGCAAGACGCTTAACTGGAATACAGCTCCACCCTTCTCCCCCTAGAATGGACAGGAAAGGCAAAAAGAGGGGAGCATCAAAACTTGCTGAGTCGCCCGGGTGCCGTGGCTCACGCCCGTAATCCCAACACTTTGAGGGGGCGGAGGAGTGAGAATTGCTTGAGTCCAAGAGTTTAAGACCAGCCTGGGTGACATGGCGAATCCCTGTCTCTACAAAAAAATACAAAATTGTCCAGGCATGGTGACTTACAGCTGTGATCCCAGTACTATGGGAAGCCAAGGCAGGCAGATCACTTCAGGTCAGGAGTTTGAGGTCAGGAGTTTGAGGCCAGCCTGGCCAGCATGGTGAAACACCATCTCTACTAAAAATACAAAAATTAGCTAGGTGTCGTGGTGGATGCCCGTAACACAAAAAGTAGGTGGGCGTGGTGGCAGCGCCTGTAATCCCAGCTATTCGGGAAGTTGAGGCAGGAGAATCACTTGAACCCAGGGGGTGAATGTTGCAGCGAGTTGAGATGGCGCCACTGCACTCCAGCCTGGACAACATAACAAGATCCCTCCACCTACCAAAAAATATGTGTGTATATATGTATACGTGTGTGTGCATATATATATACACACATATACATATGTATACACGTGTATATATGTAGACATATGTGCATACATGTATATACATACATATACATAGTCTACATATACACGTATGTATACATATTATGTACATATACGTATCAAAAAAAAAGAATTCTAAACCTAACTGTCCATGGAAGAGTTTGTTTTTTTTTTTTCCCTGAGACAGTCTCTCGCTCTGTCGCCCAGGCTGCAGTGCAGTGGCGCAATCTCGGCTCACTGCAAGCCTGCAAGCTCCACCTCCCAGGTTCACGCCACTCTCCTGCCTCAGCCTCCCAAGTAGCTGGGACTACAGGCGCCCACCACCACGCTCAGCTAAATTTTTTGTATTTTTAGTAGAGACAGGGTTTCACCATGTTAGCCAGGATGGTCTCGATCACCTGACCTCGTGATCTGCCCGCCTCAGCCTCCCAAAGCGCTGGGATTACAGGCGTGAGCCACTGGACCCGGCCAGGAAGAGTATTTTCAAGTCACCTGTATATACACGTATGTGTACGTACATGTATACACATATGTAGACAGATATACACATGTGTATAAACATATATATGTCTACGTATATGTATGTACGTGTATATATACACGTATACACATACGTATGTATACATATATATAAAATAAAATAAAAAATTAGCCAGGCATGGTGGCACATGCTTGTAGTCCCAGCTACCCAGGAGGCTGAGGTTGCAAAGAGTCGAGATCACACCACTGCACTTCAACCTGGACAACAGAGTGAGACTCTGTCTCAAAAGGCAAACAAACTTGCTGACTCACGAAACACTCAAGACAAAGAAAGAGCTTAGAAAACCAAGACTAATAGTGCCATTAGCAGAAAGCAAAGTAAGAAATGATTTTTTTTTTAAATGTTCAAAGTGATTGTTCATATCTAAGATATGTTCCAGAATGTGGCCTAACATTGACCTTTGCAGGCTATCTCATTAAAAGTAAGGAGAAAAAGTAGTATAATTGAAGTTATATTAGTAGTTGGATATTTTTGCTAATTAAAATAGAAGGTTCTTTTATTCTTTTGCTTTCTTAATAAACTTGCTTTCACTTTAAAAAAATTAAAACACCTTCCACACTGAATTGCTAATTGAACAAAAAAATATTTTTTTAAGTAAACCATCACAGTAAAACTCGCAACCTTGCACAGAGTACTTTAAGAATTCTAGAGGCCAGGCATGGTGGCTCGTTGCTCACGCCTGTAATCCCAGCACTTTGGAAGGCCAAGGCAGGTGGATCACCTGAGGTCAGGAGTTCAAGACCAGCCTGGCCAAAATGATGAAACCCTGCCTCTACTAAAAATACAAAAAATTAGCCAGGCATGGTGGTGGGCACCTGTAATCCCAGTTACTCGGGAGGCTGAAGCAGGAGAATTGCTTGAACCCAGAAGGCGGAGATTGCAGTGAGCTGAGATTGCACCACTGTACTCCAGCCTGGGCAACAAGAGCAAAACTCCGTCTCAAAAAAAAAAAAAAAAAAAAAAAAGAATTCTAAACCTAACTGTCCATGGAAAAATATTTTTAAGTCACCTGTTCTAAATCAAATTCCCAGACATATAAGCAATTTGTGGCTATTTCTGTCCCACTTATATCTTTGTCTATTGATGGACTGATACTGTACTGTTTTCTTTATAACACCTCTAAAACATTTTTATATCTCCAGCATGGCTAAACAATTCTTTGCTCTTCTTTTGCTGTCCGTGCTTATTTTTCTCTTCTAAATGAGCTTGATTGGCTGGCTTAGTTCCATAAAAACAAAATCATTGGAATTTCAAATGTAAATATGCTGATTTTGTAGCATAATCAGGAAAGAGCTGACATCTTTACAATACTGAATCTTCTGATTCACGAACATGGTAGAGGCATTTTCACTTATTTAGACTATTTCCTACCCCAACCCATGACTCCAGTATTTTTAAGATCTTTCTTCATAAACATATTTCACATTTCCTGTTAAATTTACTCCTATGTGTTTGAGGGGTTTTGTTGCAATTATGAATTAATTCTTCTTCCATTGTATTTATTACTTGTTTATTAATAGTGTACAATAAAGTTCTGGTTTTAAGACATGGGTCCTATATATATATCTAACCATCATACTAAGCTCTCAGCAGTTCTAACAAGTTTTAACAGAATTCACTAATGAAGCCTCTAAGCTTGAAGTTTTAAGAGTTGTGATTTGTTTTGTTTTGTTTTTCTTTAGTGTCCAACAGGTATTTTTAACCTCGGGAGCCTTCCTTTTACTGTTTCTAAATAGCAGCATTTCATCAATTGCAGTATTACTGACATACAACCATGTTTTATTATGCCCCCTCCCAAGGCCAGTTGCCGATGACTATAATATGTATTTCTGGATATTAAAAATAGTCTCTTTTTTTCTAAGATGGATTAGCTAAATCCTGCATAAAGGAAACAGTATGAATTATGATTTCTCAAAGTCCTCTTTGGCGTTAGGATTTTAGGATTTTTAGTAGACCTCATGTGTCTACTTCCAAAGTCCAAAGTATGCTTGAAATCTACACATTTGGAGTGACTACCTAGTATGTACCTCATGCTCATGAGCTTAAGAACGTCTACTTTTACAACTTGTTAGGCGATAAAATAAGGACTCTTCAATATATGCTGATCCTTTTTTTTTTTTTTTGAGACGGAGTCTCGCTCTCTCACCCAGGCTGCAGTGCAGTGGCGTGATATCCGCTCACTGCAAGCTCCACCTTCCGGGTTCACGCCATTCTCCTGCCTCAGCCTCCCCAGTAGCTAGGACTACAGGTGCCCACCACCACGCCCAGCTAATTTTTTGTATTTTTTAGTAGATACGGGGTGTCGCCGTGTTAGCCAGGATGGTCTCGATCTCCTGACCTCATGATCTGCTCGCCTCGGCCTCCCAAAGTGCTGGGATTACAGGCATGAGCCACCGCGCCTGGCTGATCCTCTCTCTTGCTGTGAAACAACATATTATTTATTTTCTTTGGATATACAGCCAATCATTTTTTTGTGAAGAACCTCCAGCCGGGCATGGTGGCTCACGCCTATAAATCCCAGTGCTGTGGGAGGCCAATACAGGAGGACTGCTTGAGGCCAGAAGTTCAAGACCAGCTTGTGAAACACAGCAAGACACTGTCTCTACAAAAAATTAAGAACTAACTAGGTGAGGTGGCACACACCTATAGTCTCAGCTACTCAGAAGGCTGAGGCAGGAGGATGACTTGAGCCCACAAGTTTGAGGCCAAGCGAGCTATGATTACACTACTGCACCTGCCTCTGGGGAAGATGGGAGAACCTCCATACTGCTTCC